GAAATGTGAGTTCGGACGCACTAAGATCTTATACTTGGGTCATGAAGTATCCGCGGAAGGAATTAGGCCGGAAGATGCGAAGGTGGCTAGTATCAGGGACTGGCCACGACCTCAGACTGTTACTGAGGTCAGATCTTTCTTAGGAATGTGCGGCTACTATAGGAACTTCGTAAATAATTATTCTACAGTCACCTCTCCTTTGACTGATCTAACTCGACTTGACACGCCGTGGGACTGGAGTGATGAATGTGGGGCTGCTTTCAAACGATTGAAGCATGCACTCATGAATCATGAGGTTCTCATGGTGCCCGATCCTCAGAAGTCTTTCATCGTAACCACTGACGCAAGCCAATACGGCAGAGGTACTAGCTCAACAGGATGGGAAGAAGTTGAGGCCGATTGAGTACATGAGCAAGAAAATGCCATCAAAGAAATTGGCAAAGTCGACCTATGAAAGGGAACTCTATGCTCTCTACAAAGCACTTGTTCATTGGAGGCACTTTCTATTGGGAAGGTTCTTCTATTTGAGAACTGACCATCAGACCCTCAAATGGATCAAGACTCAACCGACTCTCTCTGATGCACTCAAGCGATGGATTGAGGTCATAGATCAGTATGACTTCAAGCTAGAGTATCTGAAGGGAGAGTACAACAAGGTTGCAAATGCGCTGTCACGTAGAGCAGACTACCTAGGCGCACTACTTTCTGACTTTGGTGTATCTAAGGAACTAACTCAATCGCTGATGGGAGCCTATCAGGAAGACCCTCTCACGATGGACATCATACGCAAGCTTCAGGCAAAAGACAAGGCCACAGAAAATGAGTTTGTGATGGTGGACGGGCTTCTCTTTCTTGATAAGGCCGGATTTAAAAGATTAGTTGTACCATCTAGTGAACATTTGCGTAGTTTGTTCTTAAGAGATTGGCATGATGCAACCGGACACTTTGGCTACAAAAAGACGAGTGCCAATCTAGTACAACGATTTTGGTGGCCTGGAATGCTAGATGACGCAAAGAAGTATGTAGAGACCTGTCAGGTCTGTCAGCAGGTTAAACCGCGAACTCAAGCACCGCTTGGGTTGCTGAAGCCCTTACCTATCCCCGCTGGTCCAGGACAGAGTGTTTCCATGGACTTCATGGACACCCTGGTGACCAGTAGGAGTGGCAAGAGGCACATCTTTGTCATCATTGATCGATTCACCAAATACGCTAGACTAATTGCCATGCCAGAGACTGCAAGGACTGACCACGTCATCAAGTTGTTTATGGACAACTGGGTACGTGATTTTGGACTACCAAAGTCAATTGTTAGTGACAGAGATGTCCGATTCACAAGTGAGCTGTGGAAGAAGACTGCTGAGCAGATGGGCAGTCAACTTCAGATGACTTCAGGGAATCATCCCGAAGCCAATGGACAGGCCGAGCAGATGAACAGAGTTGTACAACACCTGCTGAGGCGGCCAGCAAATCAACAAGAGCCCTCTGTGCAAACATTTCACGAAGTGGGGTCCATACAGTTGCAGCACGCCAGTTGGTTGGAGTGCACCGAGTATCGGAGCTCTGCAAATGCAGAAATCCCAGGGCCCCAGAGTTGGTTAGGCCCTGGGCACATAAACGTGAGGCCGACAATGCGTGCTGGATATAGAGGCCGAAAATGCCAATGGGAAACCGGTCCACTATCTGAATCTGGCCGCAGGCCTTGATGAAAGAGGCGCAACYGCATCTCCTGGGCCCCAACCACATTGGGCCTGGGTACAGGTACTGGGGCCCAGGCACAGGCTCAAGGGAGGCCRCCCACACGCAACACTGGCATATAGGCAGGGAGGGCGAGTGGGCAGGGATCTTGGCCAATGMAGGCATTGCGGGCACGCTGCTGCATTGTAGCGCTGCACTTGCGCTGCGGCTGAGGGAACAGGCTAGCGCTAAGCGGTAGGGCGCTGCCTGGGCACAGGGCRCTGGCGGCCATAGCTGGGCTGCCTGTGGGCGCAGAGGAGGTGAAGGGCGAAGGTGGTTCTTCRGAGGTGAAGGGCGCTGTGTGGGATAACAAGGGAGAGTGAGGGTGAAGAGAGAGACGTACCTGGTGGAGAGGGGRGGTYGGCATTGGTGTTGACATCATCACTCGCTGGTCGWCAAGTTGTCTGGTTGCTTTCATGCTGTAGTTGTAGTGATAGGCTGTAGAGTAGGTAGGGCGCCTGGCGSCATTCAAGAGAGAKAGCTACATTGGGTTATGCTGTTGGTGTTGCCCGATTGGGCTYGGACATTGACTCRCGATTCTTCTGTATCGTTCTCAAATGGATGGTTACTTGGTTCCATTGTGCTATCTGCTCTTGCTTTGACTGCTTGGACTTCAGTGTGATTTTGCAATCTGGATT